TTAAACTCCACTTTTGGGGACGACTGCTATTTTCTTTTCTCATCCATTTTTAGTCATTATGTTTTCATGAGTATATTGTTTCCATCTTTCTCAAGACTTTTGTCCCTCTAGATAAATCTCTCCTTGGTATGGTTGCTTAGATGTTCCCTCCCGTCCCCCAATCATATGAGATCTGACAATAGGCAGAGGCAAGGTCCATTTGATGAGCTCCTGATATCTCAGTATTATTTTACAGTTCACATGTATCTGAGTGAATACTTGGACATTTTCATATTGATGATGACTACCTTGCTTAAGATCCACATGTCACTAATATGTGTGTAAATTCACCATGCCCAATGCTTCTTCCTTATCTGACAGAAGCTTGTTACCTTTCTACTAGTTTGAAGAAGCCAGAATGTCTGATGTTCATGGGAAGATTTGCATAATTATTGGTTAAGATACATGGGGACTCAGTATTTGAAAAAAGGAAGATTGTGACTGAAATAAACCTCTTTTGCATCCTTGTGAGTGCTTTCTCTAAGATACTCCTAATCACATTTTTATCTGGTGATAAAAAGTTGACTGCTATGAGCTAAACCACCGACAGAATCTCTGAGATTCTTTGGAGAGGATTCCTGTAGTGGCTTAAATTAAAGTTGACGTAGTTGACCCCTGAAGTCGAACTCTAAGATTCTGAGGTTCTTTTCTCCTCTACTCATTCGTTGGTCACAGTCTGATTCTATAAATGGCTACATAGTACTTGGCTCACACAACACAAACAAATCCTAACAGCCAGTACCTTCGAAACAGGAGAGAGGAAGAAGAGAAGATGAGGAAAAGGAAGAAGCAAGGAGAAAGCAAAGGAGAAGGAAGAGTTGGTATGTGGAAATGAATATGAACTGCAGATATGATAAGAGATGGCTAGAAAGATAACTTTGCCATCTGGTGGGGCAGAGGGATGGGAAATAAATGATTTTCTGACTGCTGAAGGGGAAATGAAGTGTGCAACTGCTACTATTGCTAAATGGGGTCTCTAATTCCTCTCTCCATAATGATAATGACTTACATTTATACAGTGTCTTTCACTAGCCCAGTCCCAAAGAAGTGTCTCAGAGGTATAACCAGACACATCTCTTGGTTCATTTAAAAAGTTAGGCCTTCATAGAGTAGAATTTCACGATGCTTTAAATGTGAAACTGACTGATGGGAGAACAAATATTCAGATACAGAAGGATGAGGGCAGGGGAGGAGTAGCCTATCTCCACATCTCCCTGAAATAGGGGGAGATGGAGAAGGGGAAGCAGTTTATATCTGAAATCTTCATCCACATTAGACTTTGGTCAAGGCAAAAATTTCAACTCAGATAAAATCATCCAGGGATCTTAATGGCTTTATGTAACTAAAGTTTCATCTTAACTGTTTCACTTCTATATCAAAAGATGGCACTCACTGGAACATATCACATTTAAGGTGAACTCTCCTCAAGCATTACTGGGTCACCAGGGTAGCCATTTTGATGGCTGACATCTGGTTCCAGGCTGTATTAAAGGCCATTCTCTGATGCTCTGGATGCAAAAGAATGTTTAGGAGCAACCAAGGATGAAGGCAAGAAGTGGAAATGAGGGCATCAATGAATCAAGTCTCTCTTTATTCCAATGAGATAATCATGGAAAGAAAAAATAGCTCAGTTCTCAAGAGGCTGTCAACAACATCTACTAAAACATGGGCAATATACTCACTTAAGCCAGTGTTGTACACATAGTTAAATATTTCACAAATACTTCGCAAACTGAATCTCAGTAAGGAAAGGAATAGAAGACCCATCACTGGAGACATTAACGGGTTGACATTTAGAGAAGATTAGGCTGTACAGAATGGTTCTACACTGGTTTTGAATTAAGTAACAGAATGTCTTCTTAATTACTCTACTTCTCTTGATCAGTCGTATAATCACTGTTCAGCCACCTTAGGGGAAGACTAGTAATTTGATGGTTGAATATGTTTTTGAAAGGAACAGACATTGGAAAGAAGACTGGCTTAGAAGTCAGGAGACCTTGATTCTTCGTGGTGCTGGTTTTGTTACTGATGGATTTTTTGACATTGGTCAAGTCATATCAACTGTTTAGGCCTCAGTTTCCTTAGGGGGTAAAATAGGAATAAAAACTCATAGAGCTTGAGAGCAAGAGTGGGACCCTGGGAGTCACTTCGTCACAACCTCTCATTTTACAGGGAAAGAATCTAAGGCCTAGAAAAGTGAAGAGCCTTTGCCAAGGTCACACAGCTAACAGTAATAATCTTGCTGGCATTTATATAGCATCTTAACTTCTGAGAAGTACTTTGGATATGTTATCTCGATGAGCCTCACAACAATCCTGTGGGACAGGTGATGTTTTTATAGAGGAGGAAAATGTGACTCAGAAAATTTAAGCAATTTGCTCAGGTTTGAGCAGCTAGTGAATATTTCAGGTGAGATTGAAACCCAGGCCCTTCTTATGACAACTGCAGAGCTCTAACCACTATGCTATGATGTCTACGAATAATTTAATAAATAATCATTTAATTAAAATAATTAATAATTGAAGAGCAGAAACCAGAACGAAGGCCTCATGATTCCCAAGCCTATGATCTTTCCACTATCCACATTGCTTTTCTGCCTCACTGGGCAGGTGTGAGGATCATGGGAGAAAACAGATGTGAAAGTACTCTGGACAAAAATGTCACCACAGCTATACAAATTAAAATACAAGGAAAGTGTTATGGCAAGAATGGAGCCAACTGTGAGCCCCTAGAAATGACAGGAGCCAAGTCTGGTAACTGGGCAATTTATTGAAGCTCAAACAGCCCCAGAATAATACAGTCTGGTTTAGGAAAATATTAATCAGATTGTTTCTTTAATGTGATCATGGTGACAGGCCCCCCTTGGCTGCCCTGAAATAACTCTCTTATTTTCTGATAAGTTATGCTTCTTGTTTGTTGATTCTTCTGAGTGAAACCGTGACAGTGTTTTCCATTGAACTAAAGCTCAGAAAATGCAGAAATGAGAACCAACTCTGCCCCTGGCTAGGTGAAGTCCCAAGGTTCAGCTCTACCAGGCTGAAAGGGAAATCAGGAACATGCCTTGGGCTTACGGTTAATTTAACTCCTTTCGCAGGGTAGGCTTCACCACCCAGATAAGAAAGGCCAATGAAAATGAAAGACAGATTTGCCAAATGACTTTGGGTGGGTGGGTAAGGGGGAATCAAGTTTAGATCATTTATCTCCCACAGCATATCCAAAAAGGACAGGAATGGTAATCTGACTTCATTAACCCAAGAGACCACCACCATAACAAATCCCATGCTGGATATTAGGGTAGAGGTTTGAAGGGGAAATATGAACTTTCCTTAAATGATGACTCTTAACTAATAACTGTATTTTTCTCTGAAATCTGCTAGCCTGGAAAATGTATCTAATTATTCAATAATGGACAGCTCCCACCTCCTATAATTATTCATTCCTGAGGAGGAATATGAGAATGGAATGGATAAGAAAGCCCTTGCAGGCCTAAGGGATTTGTATCCTCCCCCAATCCTTCTGCATTTCAGCCATGGGAGGAAGGCCCTTTAATTCTAAGCTTTGGGGTAAAGAACTGTATATTACTGTGGTTTTATAACTCTCTTGACACTTAAGGCAGGGATCCCGTACTTTTTATGTGTTAAGGAGCTACTTACTTGGCTCTTCATTGGAAGCTGTATATCCCATCCAGTGGTTTGTGGGGGATACTGGCAGGAAAGTGGGAGCCTCGTGGGTGTGTGAAGGTTTGGTGATGGAATGTGGGGGAAGGGGATAATGACAAAACACTCTTTGGTACTGCTAGGAAGCCACAGGTAGCAGGAAGGGGATGTGATGAATACTGCTGGTATGACACATCAACTCCCCAGTGGAAATGCCCTCAGGATAAAAAAGGGTTCACCCAATCATAGATTCTGTGCTGGAAAGGAACGTGAAGGCCATTTAGCCCAGTCCTCTAATTTTACAGATGAGGAAACCAATACCAAGAAAGTTTAAGTCAGGTCACTCAGCGTGTATGTGACAGGGATAGGATTTGAACCCTTTGAAGTCCTCTGACTCCAAAGCCAACACTCTTTCCACCGTACTGTGTTGAAAGGAGTTATGGCATTGTCACATACACACACCTCTCTGTCCCTTAGCCATGCTCTCTCCCTAGAGCCTAAAAATACTAGAGATGCAGGGGAGCTGTGAGCCTTAGTCCCTTGCTGTGGCTCTCTGAAGCCAGCATTTTAAATGCAGACAGGCTCCACGGAGAGAGGATGCTGTTACTCTCCAGCTTCCCTATCTTCCTTGAGTCTTACCACCATTTTTAATAACTGAGAAGTAAAAGAAAAGTCCTGTGTTTAAGAGCTAAAGCCATGATCTCACTAGGTTGAGGTCTGTGACTTGCTGGTTGATCAAAATTAACCTGCTGAGAATCCCTGAGTGGGGTCCCACCTTTGGAAGGAGACATCTCAAGTTAATTCTATGCTCTTTGCTAGGATAATAGGAGCTGTGACATTTTGAGGATCTCATAGAGAAACCTATAGGTTTTTCTTAAGGATTTCTCTTTCTGCTCTCACCAATGACAATACACGCTACCTAGCCATATCTCTCGCATCTTTCTTTCATCTCTGATAAGAAAGCAAAGATGCCAATGATTTTTGCAATTAAGAATTTGACAGCTACTGGAGGCTCATGGACCTCAAATAATTTTCTAAGAAAACAAACAGAGGATACAGGGGAGTATATGGAAGCTTAACAAACCATGGAAAGAAATGCTATGTAGTCACTAAACCAACTGTAAGAGGAAACTGTTTTCATTTGATTCCAACACTTTGACTAGTGAACATAAAAAAGGTGAAGATGATGAAATTCTAATGTCCAAAGCCTAGGAAGTAAGGAATCGACTTAAACTTTAAATAGGATCTCTGTGGCAGGCAATATCGCCTTCATTTAGAATAGTCAGTGCTGAGCCGTGGACTTACCTGGAGACACTGAGGAGTCATAGGTGCTTCTTTCCTTTCGGTTCATCCTGAAGGCTTGGATGTCCTTTTCCCTGTAAGTTCCAAAACCTTCAAAGCTCCTTCTTTTACTCCCACTCACTTCACTGTCCCACTTGTCATTCAATGGGTTCATGTTGCCAAACACATCCAAGGTCTCTGACCTCGTGCTGCTGCTGCTCTCTCCACTGCTGCCACTGGAGAACTTCTTTGTACAGGGGTCAGCAGGGTCTCCACTAATGTCTCCTTTTTCCTTCACCTGCGTCCACTGTTGGGCATCAGAGAGCGACAGGGTCGACAGGGTGTCAACCTCAAAGTTGTTCTTAGAAGCTTTGTGGCTGACCTCATTGTGTTGGTGTTTCTGTTTCTCCTTATGCCTACTCTTCTCGCCCACCATGGAGAGGTCTTTGTCAGCGCTGCTCAACCGCTCGCTCAAGACATGGCTAGAGAAGCTCGTGGACTTGCCTGCAAAGAGACCGCTCAGGTCATCATGGGTCCCCAGGATTCGGTCCTCCTTGTGCTTGTGTTTGTGTTTGTGTTTCCTTTTGTGGAGGCGACCACTGGACAACCCAGCACTACCCACCTTTGGAGGATTGAGAGAGGGCTGTAGGTCTCCAAGGCCCATGCCCACAGGTGTCTGCAGATGCACCCCATGCTTTGCTTTGTGCCTGGCAGTACTGGACATCTTCACATGGGAGCTTGCATGGAACTGGGGTGGCGGCACTGTCGGCCTCATAAATGGTGAAGCTGTGCCAAGAGTGTGAGATAGGTACAAAGGAGCTGGGTACTGACCGTAATAACCAAGGTTCATCATAGGCATTGATGTGTAAGGCATTCCATAGGGTGCATAGTAACTTCCACTGGGGATAGGGTAGCTGAACCCCTGTAAAAAAGGCACCTTTGTCATGGTGTCATTGGTTTTGGCAGGCCTACCACGCTTCTTCTTGGACTTCATGTCTGAGGTCCTTCGAAGATAGAGCAAGGGGTCATACTGTATATATGGCACCGGGTAATAGTGATCAAAGTTGATTCTAAAAATACTGGGATATGGGTTCTCATGATAGAATGTGTAACTCCGGTGGGAGATCCTGAACATCTGGAACTTGCTGATGAGTTCTTCTAGGTCCGCAAGGAACTGGAGGTTGTCACGGTTCTGCAGGCTTTTTCTTTTCCGCTTGTGCTTTGGCTTCTTGATGCTTTCGTGGGCGAGGAAATTGTCCACGATGAGATGCTTCTGCCGGTGGCCATGTCGGTTCTTTGTGCTGGTGTCAGATGGAATGGCCTCCGGATTGTCCAAAGAGCAGAAGTCAAAAGAGTACCGCCGGCGGGATTCTGAACTCTTCTCGGCTTGATCAGATGTGCTGTTGTTGTCCGTCCCAATGCCACTGTCACTAGGGATTGTCTCCTCGCTATGTGACTCGCTGACAGGGGACAGTGTGATTTCCTTCAGGGACCCAATCTCACACAGGTGTGAAGGTGAGTTGGCCATCAACCTGGGAGGTGACAGCTTCCAGGTTCCACTGTGTAATCCTTTCTGGGTTTTGGTAGGAAGAGCACCGATGGGCTGAAGATTTGGCATAGTTTTCAACTCTGAAAAATTGATTTCAGTGCTGGCGGGGCTCAGGTTGCCATTAGACCCGACTAACTGCGTGGAAAGTGGGTGCATAGCTGCTGGTGAAGATGCCACAAGTGACTGAAAGTTGGAAGGCACGGCTGGAATATCCGGCTGGCTAGAAACAGGCCTTGGGTGCTTGATGGCTGTCTTAGGTTCTTCAGATGGGGGCTGCAGCTCTGCCCTAGGTTTTCTGCCCCTCTTTTTGCCAATGTAGATGGTCCCTCTCTTGCTGACATTGATCTGCTTCCCCAGTCTGCTGTCAATGGCTGCTCCCCCAGGATTGGTCTGGGGCGGTACTTTTGCCTTCAGGGCAATGCTGCTGGAGCAGGACAAGATCTGATTCAAGATGTTTTTCCTTTTAAGAGTCTTCATCTTGTTGATGGTCTTGATGGTCTTCTTGTCCAGTACACCAAGCTTTCCAACTTTTTTGTGGAATTTCATCTCGCTCATAGATTTTTCCTCTCCTGGCACTAGCTGGGCCAGTTTGGCTAAATTGCGTCTTCTCTTCCTCTTCTTAGTGCCAGGGAATTCCCGGCTGATTGGGCTGACGGGGCTGGTGGAAGTCCCCTCGTGGATTGTCTCAACGGTGAGGAGAGGTTGTTTCTTTGGCCGTCCCCTCTTCTTTTTGACTGGTGTGATCACAGTGAGACTGTCTGTGTTTGTGTACAGAGGACTAGATGGTGTGATAGGATATGCGGAAGGTGGCTCCACCATGAGTTTTTCAGAAGTGGCCACGGCTGACTCCCGCAGCATACTGGTGGGTTTTGGTTTGCTGCAAGTCCACCTCCGCTTTGCTGCAAATTTAGGGTGCTGAATTTCTGGCAGCTTGCTTGAGAGGGGTGGATCTGTGCATGGCGGAGGAGTCATGAGCAGGGGGGTTTTTCGCAGTCTGGCCGCATTACTTGAGAGAACCTTCTCCGCACTTACAACACCTTCCAGCACAACCGAAGAGGGCTCATTCTCCATCATTTTAGCAAGCTTGGTAGTGCGAGGATCTTTCTTACTTCCTTCGGGATGAGAGAGCATCCTGCTAGCTACTTCACTGCTCATGGGGATTCCAGAAGCCAAGGCTTTCTCTGGTATGATTTTTTCCACCATTGTTTTCACAGACTGCCTCTTCTTCCTTTTATGGCTAGGTGGATCTAGGGTTGGAGTCTTGATGGGAATAGTGATCCGGACATGATTCGTATCATTTTCAGGATTACTGATGGGACTCACATTTTGCCTGGCTGGTGACACCTCTTGGATGTTATCTGTGGAATAGCCTTCCTTTTTCCCTTCCAAGTTATCGTGAGTTTTGGTCTCAAATGCTTTTTGGGCATTCTTGACCCAGTCCAGGTCTGAGTTTTGTATGGTTTGATTTATTAAGTCTTTTTTACTTGACTTTTTCTTGCTGTTTGCAGTAGGGGGATCTGGGGGCTCCATTGATCCTCCTCCATCTTGATCTACTAAGGATGGGAGTCCATTGCACTCAGCTGAGCTGGTGGTCTGGGCTGGTGAATTGACGCTGCTTGGAGCTGGGACCACATTACCCAAAAGCAGATCTTTGCTGCTGCTGGACAACTGACTCCATGTGCTGCTCACACTACCTTTCTTCCCTTGGGACTTGGCAAAGGAAGCCACAGGCTCAAGGGTTGGAATTTTGGTGGAGCCTGGAGTTTCTCGACTAGACTCCGTCCCAATGAAGCAATTCTGAGTGGTCGGACCATTATCCGAGCTGGCAGACCAATCTATGTGGCTCTGGCTGCTGCCTTTTTGCTGGTGCTTTGGTTTTAAGGTGTCTCCAGTAAAGTCCTGTTGGAGGCTGGGATCATAGTGGAGGGTTGAGTGTTTCTGTGGCCTCTCATAAACCTGAGAGAAAGAGAAGGAGGAGGGGGATGAGTACATTGGTGCCATTAACAAAGTTAATGTTGAGGCTCTTAATTATCTGAAAGTTAGAGGCAAATGACTACTTTAACAACTTCTAACTCCAAGCCATTTTATAAGGGTTCCTTAAACTGCAGTGATAAAACTATATTAACATTGTTCTCAAATGAACCTTAAATGAGGTCTAATCTCAAGGCCCTGCTTTCAAATAAAATAGAATCATAGTCTAACTACTTTAAGTTTAAAATTAGAATCATAGAATGTTAGGGCTGAAATGGACTTTAAAAGGCATTAAGCACAAACTACTTCATTTTACAGATGAGGAAGCCCAGGTGAAAGGAGTCTCTTTGCCCAAGGTCACACTGCTGTTTAATAGCAAAGCAGGGACTAGAGCCTGGGTTTTCTGACTCTTAGCTTATGTTTCTTTCCACTCTACCATGATGCCTCCCTACTCCCTCTCCAACCTCCTCCTAAAAAATGTACTTCTCTCCCCTCTTCAATTTTTCCTTGATATTTTGTAGATTATAACATTATTCACATTTCACCGAAGTGCTATCACAACTCATGAAGTAAATACTCTCTGTGGGAGAGTGCAGAAGAAATTCTAAGATCTGAAGGCTAGAAACACAAAAAAGGTCTGCCATTCATGGAACGGGGAACCATTAGAGGATAGAAAAGAAATGATAAGATGAGAGAGAATGGGCCTTTCCAACCACCCATCATTGCAGCATATGATTTTATTTTTAGGACCTATACCCCACCCCCATAGGGTGCTGTAAATGGTAATGCCCTCTATAAGCTATTAACATTAATAATTATATTTTTTGCTAAGAAAAATAATTACTGTAATTTACTTCTAATGGGGATCCTTTAACCTCTTAAGACAATTTCTTATAGTACCACAGGGGGTTCTTCATTTTCTGAGGCACACCCTGGGAATGGACTATTCTAGGAAAATCAATATCCCTCTTGGGATACTGCCTTGGAATTTTGCCAACTCGTCTTCATTCCAAGCCTATTCCTGACTAAATCACTTCGACTTCAGAAGCTTTCTTGGAATTCTTTAGCTGGAAAGGATAGAGGTCAGTTGAGCATTTAAGGGTGGGGAAAACAGAATCAATATGATAGAGTGAGTGAATGCAGACTCGTTCATCAGGTTCACCAACACCAGAACCAATAGGCAGCTTTTAAAGCTCACATTAAAGACACACACATACTTAAAACAACAACAATAACAAAACTTGATTTTAGATTGTTAGTAGAAAATTTAAAGAATGTATGTCCCCCAAAGTGGGGGACTGAAAATGTAGATAGGTTCAAGAAATGATCAAAGGATCAAAGATTTAAGAATTAAATTAAGAAATTAATCAATTAAGAAGTGATCACAGGATCAAAGATTGAAGGTCCTGGTAAGTACTTGAATGTTTTTCTACTACAATACCCTCATTTTACAGGTGAGGAAACTGATGCTAAGATCAGAGGAGTACATTTTGGCTAGAATGGACAGCACTGAAAAGGAAAAAAAAAAAAAAAAACAAGTCAGGGCAGGAGAAGAAGCCCTAATGGGAGACAACTCTCAATTTGGGAAGATACCAAAACTACCTATTGGAACAAAAACCTTGGCAAGAATGTTTCAATCAAATTATGGTTAATCACATTGAAAAGTTAAAATGTTAGGAGTGTCTGGGCTGCTAACCTTTTGAGGTTCATGTTATATATGTTAAGCTATCAAAGCTTAAAATTTTACTCAAATTTTTGTGATCTCTTCTGTGTCCCATGGGATAGAGCCAAGGTAATAGTTTTTGAATAATATGCTTTCATATCTGGGTGTGTATAGAGGTACGGTCAATCAGTCCAGAAGGATTTATAAAGTCTCTACTCTGTGCAAGGCATTATTGGAGGTACTGTAGATACCCCAAAACAAAACTGTCACTGACCTTAAGGAGCAAACATTCTACCACCATAAGCAACAAATACAAATACAAGAAAATAAAAATAAACACAAAGTAAATACAAGTTGATTTTCTTTGGAGGGTGGGGGCAGTAGCAGCAGGAGATACCAGGAAAGGCCTCATGTAGGAGATGAATGATGGCACAGTGGATACAGTGCTGAGCTTATAGTCAGGAAGACTCACCTTCATGTGTTCAAATCTGGTCTCTGATACTTACTAGCTATGTGACCCTGGACAAGTCACTTAATCTTGTTGGCCTCATTTTCCTCAACTGTAAAATGAGCTAGAGAAGGAAACGGCAAACCAATCCAGTATCTTTTCCAAGAAAACCCCAAATGAGGTCAGAAAGAGTCAGACATGAACTAACAACAATAAAAGGAGATGAATGGAAGCTGAGCTGTGCTTTGAAGGAAGCTGGGTGCTGTAAGAGGCAGAGAGGAGGAGAGGGTGGATTCTAGGCATCAGACACAGCTAGTACAAAGACATGAAGGCAGAATATGGTGTGGTGAGAATAAAACTAAGGAATCCAGCATGGCTGGATTATTGAAAGCATGAAAGGGAATAAAGTAGGCTGTAAAGTAGTAAAGTAAAGGGAGTAGGCTGGAGTCAGAACGTGAAGGTGTTTCAATGCATTAAATATAGGAATCTGTTTTTTCATTCTGGTGACAAAAGGAAGGCAATAGAGCTGACTGAGCGTCAGAATGACTTGCTTGGTTAAACCCATGCTTTATCGATATTGCTCTGGCCACTTTGTGGAGGATGATTTTGAGAAGTGAGACTTTTAGCAGACAGACCAGCTAGAAGGCTACTTGTAATGATTCATGCAAGAGGGGATGAGAGAATGAAATAACATGGTGGCCATGTGAGTGGAAAGGCACAGGGGTGGGATGTGTTGTGCCAGTAGAATTGACAACTGCTTGGATATGTGGAGTGAATGGAGGGTGAGGAATTGATGAGGTTGACCTTTTGAACATGAGTGACAAAAAAGCTTGGGGTGTTTTCTACAGAAATAAGAACCTTTGGAATGGGAGTGGGCTTGGGGGGAAATATAATGCTTTCTGTTTTGAATATGTTGAATTTGAAAACCCTAAACATCACTGAATTTGAAATGTCCAAAACAGGCATCTGGGGATATATTACTCAGCTCAAGAGACAGACTACAGTAGGCTGTAGAGATCTGGGAGTCATTCGCAGAGAGACGATAATTAAACCCATGAGAACTAATGAAATCACCAAAAAAGAGATGGTAGAGAAGGGAAGCTTGAGACAGGGCCTTGGGCCACATCTACAGTTGAGGCATGTGACAAGGAGGATCAAATAAGAGGTGTGAATCAGACAGAAAACAGGAAAACTAACAGAGAAAAGAGTCAATGAAACCTCAAAAGGAGGGGATATGTAGGAGGAAAGAGTGGCCATGCAGGGAGGTCAAGAAAAGGTCATTAGATTTGGCAATTAAGAGATCACTGGTAACCTTGGAGAGAACAGTTCTGGCTGAGTGATGAAGCCAGATGTTAGAGGATTTAGAAGACAGTGAAAAGAGTAGAGACAATCAGTGTAGACCAATTTTTCAAGGAGTTTGGCTGAGAGAGGGATATTTGAGATATAGGATAATAGAATATAGCTATAGTGAGGATTTTTTAAAGGATGGGAAAGCATGGGTTTTTTTCTAGGCAGCTAGGAAGAAATCAGTAATAATAATAACTAGCTTTTATTGGCTATTTTTATTATGTAGTGCTTTACTATTTGCAAAGCACTTTATATTTGTCATTATCATTTGATCCTTAGAGGAATCCTGTAACATATTACTATTATCTCTTTTTTTGTAGATGAAGAAAGTGAAGCTGACTTGCCCAAAGTCACATTTCTATTCAATGTCTGAAAGAGGATTTGAACTTCGGATTAAGTTACCTATTGTACCACCTAGTTGCGTGAATAAAGTGAGAGATCAGACATTTAAGAGAGGATGGGGAATGATGCACTGGAAAATTTGGAAGGAGAAAGGATCAAGGATAAACGTAGTATGGTTGTGTTTAATAAATATTTTTTCTATTAGCGACCATATTTATATTTAAGGAAGAATATTCTAGCAGTAGTATAAAGGATGGTGCAGAGAAGAGAGAGTGGAGGAAGGAAATTTTGTAAGGAGGGTATTATAATAGTCTAGAAGGGCACTGAGTCCATTTGAGGGTGGTAGCAGTGGGAATAGAAAAAGAAAATATGGAGGAGATGCTGCAGAGGTAAAATGGACAGAAATTGATGCAGGATGTAAGGGATAGGAATGGTTAAGGAAAACTTGAAGATTTCAAATGTAGGAAATTTGGTTCAAAGTGACTTTAACAAAATGAAGACATAAAAGGAACACGTCTAAAGGTAAAAGTAAGTTTGGATTGGGATGAGCTAAGTTGGATGACATGGAAAGAAGGAATTCCTGTAGACAACTGGAGATGTGAATTAGATTAGAGAAAGAAGTAAGGCTAGAGATAGAAGGGTAGGAGGCATCTTCAATAAAAATGGTAGTGGAAGCTATGAGATTTCTAAGAGAGGTAAAAAGTATGGAGAAATAAGAGAATATGGCCAAGGATGGAACCTTGATAAACAGCAGATATCAGTGAAGTAGACTGAGAAGGAAAGGTAACCGAAGAACCAAAAGACTATGAAGTATTTGATGCTAAGGGAGGAGAAAATATCCTGTAGAAGTGGATGTTAAGTAGTGTTAAATGCTATAGAGAGGTCAAGGAGAATGAGGACTGGAAAAAAAAGGCCATTAGATTTAGAGATTAGAAAGTCATTGGTTATATCTGAAGGTACTCTCGTATTCTATTGGGGATGATTCAGTATGCTTGGCACCTGCACATAACATAACAATGAGATAGATTTTTCCAGTACCTAAGCTAGTCACTGTGAGTAAATCAGCAAATATACATTCATATTCTATTATATGTGCAGTCTTATACTTTTCATTGAGTATGAGTGGAGGTAGACATTGGGCTGACTTATAGCATATGCAACTCAAGTCCCTTGTCCTTGCCTAAC